TTTTTTTTTTTAACAGTGCCGTTCGCGCGCGTCTCACATACACAGGTGTTATCCCACAAACGCGCGTATGTTTTTTTTTTAACAGTGCCGTTCGCGCGCGTCTCACATACACAGGTGTTATCCCACAAACGCGCGTATGTTTTTTTAACAGTGCCGTTTTGTGGGACCTTAGCAACAATATCTAAGGGGTGGGGCTTAGCAAAAAGTTGCATTAACTTAGTATCTGTCACTTACGTATGCACTCTTCATGAAATTTAGTTTACGTTTTTATTAATTTTGTTCCACTGCATGCCTCGTACATTCGCTGAAAAAACCTGTAATTTTTCATTAACATTAGGAAGAAAGAGTAGAACTACCTTTAATTTTAAAAATATTGAATAACAAGAGCCTATTTAAAAATATTCTATTCATTTTGGCTCCACATCACTGAGTGAAACAGTTGGTCTTCAAACTCATGTAAATTCTTTCCATCCATTGTGTAAATAACATTGAACTTGGTATATCTCAGTGATGGCGGCAGAAATTCCCCGATGCGAGGTCCAAATTTCCTGACAGGGGGTCCAAATTCTCTAAGCCCCACCCTATTTGGAGCAAATTTTAAGAACGCTTCTAAATGCTCAGAAACAGTGTTCCCCTGGGAAACCCCAGTTACGCCCCTGACTACACAGTGCACTGTGTAAATAATTTCATCTATATAATATTGGATTGGATTTCTTCGGTGTGATCGACACCAAGTAAGAGCCCACGAAAGTCACAAGACTTATCTCTAGTGGGGTCCTTCTGGTGGTGAATTTGGCAGTACACCGGGAGACTATCCATTACTCTTTTCCGAAGAGTGTATCGTGTTCTTGAACGTGCATATGGGCCACTTTGCACACAGGACAAACGGCTTAAACGTCTCATCCGATAGACGGTGCAGTATTGAAAATTGCATATCAGCCCATAACTCTCATAATATTACGTACTGTATTTTGTAATTCAATTGTAAGCTAGTAGGAAAACTAAACCAGGCATTATACAGGAAACAAAAACACAATCAACAAGATATATGGTTCATTTTTAATACATATTATGTATGCATAACAACATTTTGAAACCATAACATAAAGTTTCCACCACATGGCAAGATCAGAGTGTAACTATTATAGTTAAACACTGTATTTCACATCTTAGATTACATTAACAATCTTTGCATCTCGACAGTAACGAATGAGACACAGGGCCCAGGGCGAGAAAGTAATGGGGACCCATGCACTTCGGTGTAACAAAAGTGGCCGAGGGGCCCATTCGCAGTACAATATCAACATACCATAACCTGTTATATTTACTATTGATTGGTATACTATGTGATTACTAGTACTGTACACATCTTTTCGTTATTGCGGACTATTCAAATTTTAGTCTGTAGTGGAGTCTGGCTGTGGAGCACATTTGGTTTGAGTATTTATTGTCATGTGAGTTCTCATGACATTTGTGAGTTAAGTACCAGAAAATACATTGTTTCAATTTTCTAGTTTTTTGGCGTAAGTTTTAGTTTTTTATGTACAAGTAGTAGGAAAAGCCCCTCTTGGGTCTTTTGATTGAGCCCAAATGCTTTAACCCCTAGAGCCCATAGACGTTACGCCACTGCATCTTAATATATTTTAATTTTTCTCTTGGTCTCTAGCAAGAGACAGTTTCAAGCAGCAAAAACTTAGTCAGTAGAGGTATCCAGATAAATAATATAATTGTTTGGTAATATTAATTAAATTTTATTTTATTAAAATATAAATAAAATCTGGTAAAATACCAATTGTGCATTTTGTTTTACTAGTCGCATCTTTGGTTCAGATTTTTGTTGCAAAAATACATTTTAATATTATACTGATAACTTAGCACACTTTTGATTTTTTTATTTTGGGGGGGGGGCTTGGTGCTTGAGAGGGTGTAACAAAAGATATGCTTTATATTTTGAAAATTTCATTGAATAATGGCATTTCAAAATCAAAACTTTGTTAAAAGTAAATAAAATTAGTTAAACTACAGACAGACAGACAAAATAATACCACTCTTATACAGTTAGCATGAGTGAAAATATAAAGTAAATCCCAAATTAAAATAGTGTAATTAAATTCAAATTAATTTAAAAAATGTATAAATAAATTATATATAAATCACGTTTCGATTTTCTCTTGCTTCCCTACATCCTCACCAGCTACACGAAGAATTTTTTGCAAAAAGTGTGTTGTGTGTTCTGAAATTACAAAGTAAAACATAAGAATGTATGTAAACTAATTTATTGATTTTCTTAGTTTTATAAACTTTTGTAGCAAGCTACCAGCATCTATTTATATTGAGAAATTTCTTATGTCCTCGAATTTGGATCGCTACCACCATTGGTGCCAAAATTGATTTATTTTTAATAGTTTCACTGATTAAGACAAACTTTAAGGCCTGGAATCTATGAGATGCTAAAATAATATTCCCATATGTAAATTCCCATAATTTCAGCATTCTTCTATGCCTGCTGAAAATTAGAAACATCCTGAGGTTTCCACCCTATGATTGGTTGTCATGGAGATTATAATAATAATTATAATGAAACAATAATCTTACTGGATAGAGTTGAAATGCATGAGATCCTTTTATGAATGGTAAGATAGTAGACTGGTATACCACTCAATGTTATAATGAAACCAATCAAGGTGTCAAGAGGATCCGATATTGCTCCAAGAATGACTAATGCTATACATGATACAACAAAAATGATCGGCAACGCCAAGTTCACCTGTAAGATAATAAAAGAATAAATTTTTTATTAAGACAGAAGTGACTAAAATTTTATTTTTGGCCAATTAAATTAGGAAAAAAAAATGGAAAGTTGAGAAAAAAATAAAAGTTTTTCTTTATTTTTATTATGCCCGTTGCTGCCTTATTTCTTTCTAATTACCATCCCATTACCACACTGTTTACATTCACAAATAAAATAAAATAGTTATTTTTTCCTCAGTCTGAATGATTTTGGCAAAACTATTTGCTAAATAAGAAAAAAAAAATTTATGCATGTGGACATAACTGATTTGACTATATATGGGTGCGATATGACACATCATGCCAATATATATATATTCATTTTTTTAAATTTTAGTACCATTTTTATTCGCTAATTATTTTTTCTATACTATTTGTTGCTCATCCACAAAAAATTAACAATTAATAAATATTCCTAAATCTTCATTGATGATTATACTGAGAATGAAGATATGTTAATTTTCGAAGAATACTTAGAATTTAAATTACAATTCAGATTAAAGCAACTGTTATTTACTCTGCAAATAGTGCAAACATTCTGAGCCCTCTGTTCTGCAATATACATAGATAGATATGTCCTATGATGCCACATTAAAAAAAAAACTCTTAAGCCATATCCAGACCATCAAATGTTTAAAAATAATAACACCCAAATATTTATATAGCACCAATTCCAACGAATGATCAAAGGTGCTGAGAGTTATATTACCCCTGGTCACTGGATAACGTACAATAGCATACCAGCACAAAGTGCAACCTTCTCTGCTCTCTGGGAGTACACCTAGTCGTGCTCTAGGCGCACAAAACTAGTAGTACATTCATTGCCACAACATGCTATCAGATAACTATTTATACTCCTGGGTAGAAAGAAACAAATGTAAAATGATTTGCCCAAGGACACAAGCAATTTATTTGACAAAAACTTGTGGCATGCCCAAATATGGTCATGGTGGCATTACATCATAACCAAATATAGGCAATTAGAACAGTTTTTTTTTTCGAAAATTTGATAGTGTGGACAGAGCTCCTGGGTAGAGAGAGATATAAAGTGCCTTAACCACAAATGACTTGCACACCACAGTTTCAAACCCCTAACCTCAAGACTGGGACTCCAAGCCACAACCAATGCACCACCTGCTTCTGTTAGTCAGAGGTAGAGTTTAGATGAAAATTTACTCTGTTTGGTTTTTGTTTAGCTACACAATATGGCTGGGACCGCATTGGGATCCACACTGAGCTCCTGGTGGTGAATTAGGCAGTACAAACAGGAAACAATCTTCAGCAGTTTTTTAAAGAGTATATAATGTTCTTTAATGCGAACGGTGTGCTATACCCAGTATTTTAAAGGGAGAGCAACTCCATAAAGTTGAACCAAAAACACTAAGATCTCCATGGCTGAGCAAACACACAGTGGTTACCACCAGATTCAACTCACCAATCCAAAGGTCCACCTACCTTAAGCGGTTTAACAATATCAGGACGTTGACTTCTCATGTACAGAAGTGCTGCCACAGCAAGACCACTGGAACTCCATTCAACAAAACTAAAGAAATTTATTAACATCCAAACGTCTTCAACAAATACATAAACGAGAGTAGTTATGCACTGTGGGGGGAAAAAGTTTAAAAGAGAATGAAAAATTACTGCAAATTGGATCAGGAACATAAATAAAAAATCAGTCAAGTATAATTGCTCAGAAATCTCCTTTTACTTCTGTCTTTTTGTCAGTTTAACCGACAGAGATAAGCTGCTCTCAAAGAACGGGCGTAAAGTGAGAACAGATTACTCACTGCATGAAAATGGTTCATGGCTGCTTATGTATCCTATGGTAGGAAACATGAGAAAATTTCTTAAATATTAAGTTAAAAAGAAATAACAAACAAAGTATTACCGTGATCAGTAGAGATGGAAGTGGGGTCTTGAATCTTAGGTTGATCATTGCAATAATACTGGGAAGCATGCCATCTCTAGCTCCAGCAAAATATAATCTGTGAATCCAAATAAAACCTTTTATGTAAAGAAAAAAACACTGTATGATAAAAAAAATTGCAATTTTCAATAACTCCTAACTAATAAATTAAAGAAATATGAGGTTTTTTAATGCAAGTTGTGGAGTTGTTGCCCTAATTTTCATACAAATCAATATATCTTCTTGTTGTGATCTCTTTTAAATATTGTTCAATTACTATTCAGCCAATCAAAGACACAGATCTCAGAATGTTATACTTCAACAAGGATTGGGAAGGATACTGTCTATTATATTATTTGGTAAATAATCAAACTGTATGCATGTCTTTTTTTTTATTAGTGCTATAAATAGAATATAGTACTCTAATTTTTTCAGTCTGATAAATGCCATATTTTTAAGTAGGCCTTGTTTGTAAAGTGCCATGTTATTGTCAAATTATTAACTTCAGTTGGATTGCGAACACCCTCACTAAAGAGTGTTGAAATACGCAATTAACGATTTTGTAAAATCAATTATCACTTCACTTGAGGGTTAAATGTCTGTAATTCTAATTTAATAAATAAATGGAACTGGAGCATAATATTTTAAGATCCTGTCCGACTCAAAATTTAGGAAAAAACTTTATAAAACACCAAATTACTAATTTAAGGGGAGCTAAATTTATCAACTTCTTACAAAAGCAGATCAAAACAATTCCGTTTTTTCAATTTTACATACGTAATTAATTGTACTATGATCATTCTTAAATTCTCTGGTAAAGAATCTGTGCAAAGAATTAGGAACAGTATATGTACACATCTTTTGGCAAAAATTTTTTTTTATCAATATTATTATAAAATCCAATAACCAAAATATATAATGTAAATCAAGGTCAACACCAGCAGGTCAGGTGCAAATTGTGTATACCTTGTTTAGCAAACCCGCCACCAGCCAATATTGATGATTTTAAATAAAATAACATTTTATTTTTGGCCAATTAGAAAAAAAAAATGGAAATTTCAGAAAAAAAAAATTAAAGTTTTTCTTTATTTTTATTACGCCTGCTTCTACCTTGAAATCTCAAAAAATAGGATAGTATATTTCTTTCTAATTACCATCCCATTACTACACTGTTTACATTCACAAATAAAATAAAATTTTTATTTTTTCCTCCACCTGGGTGATTTTGGCAAAACTATTTGCTAAATAAGAATACAAATTTTTTTTTTTTTCCGACCTCCGCTGACGTTCTTTAAAAAAATAAGAAAACAAGGTATAAAAAAATACTGGACTTATCATTTTCAATTAATAAGATTTAGCCATGAGTTTCAAATTATGCATGTGGACATAATTGATTTGACTGTATATGAGTGTGATATGACACATCATGCCAATATATATAGGCATAATGACATCATGCCCATATATGTACACTCTCCGAGACCTTGAAAAGATGTTTTATTATACTTAAATTGTAGTACCATTTTTATTTGCTAATTATTTTTTCTATACTATTTGTTGCTCATCCTCAAAAAATTAAAAATTGATAATATTCCTAAATCTTGATTGATGATTATACTGAGAATGAACATATGGTAATTTTCGAAGAATAATTCAAATTTAAATTACAATTCAGATTAAAGCAACAACTGTTATTTACTCTGCCAATAGCGCAAATATTCTGAGCGCTCTGTTCTGCAATATACATAGATAGATCTAGGCCTAGGGGCCTAGCCTAGGTAGGAGTGTAATGCGGCCTAGGGGCCTGGTATCACATTAGAACTTATATTTTTCCCTACCATATGCGTGTTGCCCTAATATTTAAATAATATGCTAATCCACTTAGTGAATAACAAGTTGTTAGTCATTGACAAAAAGGTGATTGTATTGTTACTAAATTTGCATAAAGCGTAAATCCGTTGCCAGCCGGTCATATAAAATGACCTGTCTCTTATACACATCTAGTCATGGTGGCATTACATCATAACCAAATATAGGCAATTAGAACAGTTTTTTTGAAAATTTGATAGTGTGGACAGAGCTTTATGAAGCTAATACCTTGAGATGGCTAGGAGAGTGCCGTTGATGGAGCCGAGTGTGGACAACGCCACAGAAACCGGGATGATCCACGCAAACTGGGCAAGAGCCTTTTCACCGAATGTCTAAAAAATATACAATATATTATACACTTTTGTTTGTTTTAATTAAAAAATCTTTTTCTGAATAAAAACATATTATCTAAAAATAAATACATAATAAAGTACCTAAACATAAGGCAAGTTATTTTTAATGATAATTGTGTAGAGGTACGGTACCGTACACTATCTCGGTAATGATAAAAAGGTTATGGTTGGCAACAGCCAGGGACACTCACCATTACAGAGAAAGCGTATGGTACCATATGTGGCAAAGATAGGCCAAACCAGTCACTCCTCACAAAAATTTATTTTTAAGTTATTATTTAAGGGTTAAACAGTAAAATGAGAGCAATAAAATGGTGAAAAAAAAACATTTAAATCCGACATTTCATTATAAAGTTGCAGGAGGTAAAACATACAGATCTTTTTAAAAAAAATTTTTTAAGAAATCAGTCTTCAAAGTTTATGATTTCGGGCATTTCCCAGGCACAGACCATCACCAAGTCGTCAAAAAATTGTTGTTTTAACATTGAAAATGGAGAAAATATTTGCATAGCTTGATGTACAGATATATAAAGGTTAGGTTAGTGCAATAAAATAGATTTCAAAAATTTTGACAAACCAGCATGTTTTGGCCATTATATCTGAAAAACAATTTGCAACGAGTGACTCGTTTGGCTTGTCTTTAATTGCCACATATTTTCCACTGACTATTTTTAAATAACTTACCATATGATTTGTTAAGCTATTTAAAATAACATACATAATTATGTTTTGGAAAGTTACATTTGAATAAGGTATACACAGTGCTTTGCTACAGAAATGTGTAAAAAGATAGAATAATGAAAATAAAAATATTAATAAATAAAATTTTAAATAAAAATCAGGCACCCTACTTGTTTTATGTTAGAATATCAATCTTACCACTGCGACTGCATTCGATATTAGGATTTCATCAGTTGTTAGGACGGAAAAATATGCAACATTTGTTAAGATGTAGATAACCACACAAATGAATAGACCAGCAACAATAGCCCTCGGCAAGTCTCTGTGAACAAAAATATAATATAAACAGTAATACTAGAGGATCTACTGAGCTTCAATTTTGTTTAAACGACAGTAATTATTATTATTATTATTATTATTATTATTATTATTATTATTAAGAAGCATTTATATAGTGCCAAAGAGATCAAAAACATTAGAACCAATTTTTTCAAAGTTAAAAGCTAAGTACAATAACAACAAAATGCAAATAAAATAAAAAATGTCCTACTAATATTGCCAGTTAGGGATAAATAATAAAACACAGTGTATAGGAAATATTAAAAATTATGAAACAACCAAGTATAGTTAAAAAACAATTATAAAAACTACTCTTTAGGGAAAGGTGTGTTTTTAGAAGTTTATTAAAACATTGGACACTGGCGCCTGGCGGATCTCATAAATTATTCCATTAGTTTGGGAGCAATCAAAGAAAAGCACTCTCACCAAAAACTACTTTTGTCACGGGAACTACAAGGCGTTTTTCAAATTCAAAATTCTTTAAAATATCTATTTGTTTTCTGAGTTTTACTTTTTTTCTTACTTTCCATATTCTAATCATAGCAATAAAAAAATTACTTAGTTACAATCTTCAGGTTCAAATTCCTGGATCCACAACAAAATAGCTCACACTAACCAACCTCCCACACATTCAGAATAAAGGAAGATTAGCTGTTGTGACATAGATTTCTTAACTTGGGACTCTGAAATTGGGGTTTCTTTTTCTTTAACTAAAAACGCATTATTACAACTCACCTTTTGGGGTTTTTCATTTCTTCTGTCATAAAATTCAAACAGTTCCTTTAAAAAGAGAATTAACTTTCTTATGAATTTGACAAAATATTATAATACACCAACATCAATATTATTAAAATCCTCATACTCTTTAAATTCATTTCTTCTCTCATAAAATTCATACATTTCCTTTAAAGAAGAAAATAAATTTTCTTATATTAAAGTTTGACCAATTTTTAAAAATACACCACATTAATAACACTACCATTTATTAAAGGTATTGAAATTAGCATTCAATGAGATATTAAATGTTTTTTCACTGCACTGATCAAGCTAAGTATAAAATCTTTTTTTTTGTAACTTTCTTCCCCTTCGTGGGGGTATATTTTTCATAAATTGAACTAATTGATAATAATGATAGAAGGCCAAATAAAATAAATTGTTTTTTTGCCCTTCTTTTTTAAAAAATGATAAATACGGGCAGGTGGAAAAAGTTTTTTTTAATTTATTTTTTTTTTTTAAATACTCATCAGATGGATTAAAAATAACCCACAGAGGCCTATGGCAATATCTTACATCAGACAACAACTTTAGACTACATTGTAGGGCATCTGGCAAAAAGTAAGATAAATTCACTCACATTTTTTAAAAATTTATAACTTGTTTTTCTGCCTCTATTTTTTCAGTGAGTTAGGGGTGGGTGGAGGAGGTTAAACAAACATTTTGTTTTTGGCCTAATAATGCATTACTAGTATAATAAATAATTACATTTTTAAGGATTATGCTATCCCATATTTTTATATAAAATTTTTCATGTAGAACTTTATATATTTTTATGACTATATTTTAATTTATGTATTTTTCTAATAAATCTATGAATTGAATTGAAATTAAATTTCTACAGGCAATATGTTAATTTATTATTTTATTCATATGCCTTTAAGCTTGTTTGAATAATTAATATTAAATAATGATTAACAATTACCATCCAGAGTAGGACCAAAGGCCTGAATAGAAAGCAGCTCCCAAACCTTTCCAGCTTATGTCAGAAAATGAGTTTTCAAAACTGCCTACTCCACCAACTGCAAACAAATCACATAATTTAATATATGAAAGAATAAAATAATGCATGTGTGGAATTACTGTATGCTCAAAGGAGCCTTCAATACAGTATATAATTTCTGTGAACTTGGGAGGAAAAAAACTTGATGGATAAAATAAAAAATATGAATTGTTTACTTTCAATTAAAAATTAGATCTAAAATAATTATTTTGCATGCTTACAGTAGTCATTCCGACTCAAATCAGCCAGAAATTTAAAAGTTCTTAATTAAACCGGTGATGAATATTCTCATACTACTACTACATATATAAAAGTCTGCAAGGTAATTACAGGTAGAGCAATAATGAAGGTATGATGGGGTCCGAACATGGTTGCAGGACCATTGACCCTAAAAATACAAAGGCTACTTTGACCTACTGGATGATCCTGTGGACACTTAATATTAATTATGAAATTTATACCAGTACACATATACACATATCATCAATGTAAGTAGAAAGATTAAACTTTGTTTCTCAACTCCTTATGTGTGAACTGATTTTTAAAAAAATAGACAGATTTAAATGTATTCTGGATATCAGGTCAAAAGTTAAGTCACAAATACTGACTTATAATTGTCAATATTTGTTAAAAGCACCTAAAATTACTTTAAATTGCGAGTTAGCGCCAGTCAACTGATCATTGATCCCACCCCTTAACCTTCACGCCCCCATCAGCACCCCCACTTCCAGACTCCTTGAAGCCACTGAGTGATAATGGCACATATAGTTTATAACTTAAGAAAGAGCTGATGAATTATAAATAAGGAAAACTTCAGTGGTTCCCACCTTTGATGAGGTTGACAAATCCAGTAATGGTGATGATGAGAAGAGCAATGATTTTAGCAACAGTGAGGGCATCCTGCATCCTGGTCGCAGAGCGGACGCTAATGCAGTTTATGTAAGTCATTGTTACTGAAAATGAAAAAGATATACTGTACAAACACTGTAAATGCTCGAATAAGCGCCACGGCGCTTATAAAATTTTTGGAGGCTTTAGTGCCTGTATTTGAGAGCGGCGCTTATAAAAAAGTATTTGCGTGGCGCTTTCCATGCCCTTTCCCATGTTACCTATCTCATGTATTCTTCCCTAATCGGTAGACCTAGGTCCTAGTCACATAAATAAACATTTATAAAGAAATGCTTGTGTTTTCATTGAGTTATTTATTCATTTTAACACTGTATACATTGTATTTAAAACACTGTTTCTCAAAGTGTTTCACTACACACAGGGTAATATATACCCTCGATTAAGCACCCCGGCGCTTATTTGAGAGCGGCGCTTAGGAATATAAAAATAATCAGGTTTGCAGCGGTGCTTACTCGAGAGCGGCGCTTATTCAAGCATTTACAGTAAATGCAATGCAGTATAACTTATAAGAGTTTCCTACAAAGACTCATATTCAAAAAATATAAAATACGATTAAATAAAAATTAATGAATTTGACTTTTTTTTTTAATGAACTATGCCTTTTTCACATTGGCATAGAATAGGGGTGCGAACGCGCCACACCCCTTCCCACATGAGCCGCAAATTAATAATAAATTAAGATAAAAAATAAAAATGCAAATTGACATTTTTTAACCTATTCCCCTGTTATGAATATTCTTGCATTTAAGACTTGCATGCTAATCTCTATATAGCCATCTTACCAACAGCAGTGTTTAGGCCTATAATACTGTAGTTTAACAAAATACAAAAATGAAATGTCAGAAAAAGTAATCTTACCTACACCAATCAGACCCAACAATTTAATACACACTGGTGGTATTGGACAGACAGTTGTGAAGAATGGTTGCAAAACATACTCAGCGAAAGTTAACGCAATGATAGCAGTGGATGAAGGAATTAAGATTACGATACTTGTCCACTGGTATAAAAAGCCTAAAAGACTGCCAAATGCTTCACGAATGTAAACATATGTTCCACCGTACAGTGGAAGAGCCAGGCCAAGCTCGGCGAAGCATATCGCTCCTATTGCCGAAAAGGCACCACATAAAATCCATACTATCAGCGACATTCCAACGGAATTAATACTTTCGAAGATTCCTTTAGGTGAAAGGAAAATACCAGATCCAATAATAATTCCAACATTGACACAAACACCATTAAAAAATCCCAGTCGTGGTTTAATCCGAACAGTTGTTTCACCGTTGCTGGAAGACATTGTTTACTTATCTAGTTGAAAGTACTTATTCAAAAAGCCGGGACACATGAGTAAAGCGACCAACATTCTGTTACCAATCACGCTGAGCGTAGAGACAGTATTGATATGGTTATGAATATGCATTATAATGTGAAATGAACCGTGAAAATGTATTAATTTCTGCCGAATTATTAGTAGGCTTATTATTTAGAGATACTTCCAGTTAGATGAATAATGGCATTTTTCGATTTTGGATCTTCATACACGTGCGTTGCGTTTGTGTGTGTGTGTGTGTGGGGGGGGGGGGGGGTGTGAGGGGGGGGGGGGGGGGGGGTGTGAAGTGTGTATACCTGGCCTGTTCTGCTTGGTCAATTAATAAATTTGCCCTAAAAGAAACAAGATGTCTGTTTCAAGTGCTGGATAAAGTGCCTTTCCCGAACAAAACAAAATGTCAGCTTTCAGGATGAACCCTTATTAGGCCTACTGTATATGATCCTTCGATTAGAAGCAGATATAGGTTAGGCCCCTAATTCGATTTTTTACAGTATTCTATATAATACAGGACTCTCTCTTGTCCGACTTTCCAGTAGGAATCTACGAAAACATAGCAAAGGCATATGATTTATCTACCATATTTTATTTTATATAATAATTCTATTTATATTAATACGGATTGTTCTATTTTTTAGGGCAGCCCCATGTTATCTGGATCCACTCCTGCTCTCTCTCTCTCTCTCTCCCCCCCCCTCTCTCTCTCTCTCTCTCTCTCTCTCACGTCACCACATTATAAATTCGAGCCCGAATTTATTATAATATTATGCTTTGATAGGAATTAGTAGGCCTAGCATCAGGCTGAGATCGATCTCCACATAGATAGTGGATAGTAGCAACATGTGCACTGACACGTTTATTGGCGTTGAAACGGTATCGACACTACATTAATATTAATGTATAATATTCATTGTTTTATTTTTTAAGGGACGGCCCCACGTCATCTGAATCCACCCCTGCTCTCTCACGCCACCATTAAATTTGAGCGCCGGCCGAATTTATTATTATGCTTTTTTAGGCCTTCGAATCCAGAGATCGATCTCCCAATGGATAGTCGATAGCAACATAGCACCACCAACGCGTTGTGATCCACTAATTCAAAGGTACTGTATCGCACTATGCATCATATTACGGTTTACTGTAATACTGTTAAGCCATCATGTGCATAAGCATGAGAAATCAATTAAACACACAGTCCACATACCTACACATCAGATATATACAAAAGCTTATTAATAAAGCGAAATCTGTTACTACAGCTATGTACATATACAGCAGTTTTAGGTAGGCCTACCAGTTATAATTATATTCTAATAACTATTTATATAATATATTCTAATAACCATTTCTAATAACAATTTAAAATTTAATCAATCTGTGAATAGTATTTCCCGGAGTTAAAACAACCATGGGAATCACCACGCATTGGTGGGTATCCAAATCAAAGCACTTTAATCATAATATGCCTCTCTTTTACCAGTATTGCCATGAGAGTGTCTAATCCAAAGGAAAAATAAAATAAACAAACAATATTATTACAAAAAAGAGATAGAAAAATATGAGTAAACCACGGAATAAACTCTCCAACTGATTCTCCAATTCATTCGAAAGGAGCTAGCAACAAAACGATTAAAAGCTCTCAAAATGCTTTATGAAAATGCAATGAATAAACAGGAATCTAAACATCTGTATATGATAATATACATGTTTATCTAAGCCTGGGTAGGTCACATACAATATTTGTGGTCAAATTGAAGGGAAAAAATCCGTTGGTGTTTGTTGAAATGTATTTGCCCACCCAGGGCGATAAATTAAGCCCAGCAGTAATGCACCCAGTAGAATGGAAGGGCTCATAAAAATGCTGCTGACGTGCTGGTTTTTCCAAATATTACACTAGTCTTGGCGTCATAATAATTAAATATGTATTTAATATAGACCTATTTATTTATTTAATTTTATATTGCATTTAACAAAATTTCACAATTAAAGAACGAAGCAGACAAAGTCTACCATAACTTCATGCATGTTGGTTGGTAAATCGTAGCCACAGGACAATAGGCTATAAGTGAGGTATGTTGGGCTCCTCCTTGGTTTGGTTTGGTTTAATGTAAAAAAAATGTCTTTTCTCGAGATTTTGGATCAACATTACTTTGGCATCTCAAAAACAAACTCATGGAAACGCAGGCCTGGTTCCCATAAAATCGCTGCACTCTTGCTGTGTTTTCACTGCAATCGTTGCATGCACTTGTGTCCCCGACACAATCGCCGGGAGGCTCTCCGATTCGACCGACCAATTTGCGTTGCCGACTCTGTGTGCGACAGCGTGTAGCGCTTTTATGGAAATCACTCCTTGATGTTTACAAATAATAATAATATGCACGATGGAGATATCATATATGTTGTACCATGCATGATTTATAATTCAGACACAAGTTCGAAAATAGAGAATTAGAGATTTTGTATAATATGGTCTCGCCTATTCAGAGTATTTATGTACGGTACCTTTTGAAGCTCAGAGCTTCAAAAGAGCTTTCTTTGTTTTTGTAGGTATCTTTGATCATTAGAGTAAGAATGCTTTGATCTTTTGTTTAAATCACTGCTATGTCACCTACTAGAGGTAATGTTTTGATTGGTTAAACACTTTTGGTACTAGTGCATATAAGCTTGCTATTATGGATAATTTTTCATTCCTGATGATGACATAATTAATGTCGAAATATTGTATCCCAAAACGATGGCGTGTATTTCAATACTTGGAGTATGTATTATACTTTCGTACCTAATTAAGTACAAATAATTTTTACTTGATATAAGCCATGCGTAATACTATACTAGTAGTTATGATGATAAAGGTTATTAGAAATTTCAAAATCTCCTGAAGTTAAGTCTTTAATGAACTCCACCATATTTTTCTATGGGCTGACCTTAGTTAACATTATTGTCCAACAAACCAGAAATAATTCACTAATTTACTTGACATAAGGCCTAATCAATGCGTAATAATCATACTGACCACCCTGAAACCCTTATTACCACAGCTGGAAGATGACACAATAGTTTTTAACAGGCCACTACAGTCTGTATGCTTATCCAGTCTTACTTAATTTGATTGATCATAATTAACAGTGGCCATGCATATAATTTTTTTTTTATATCAATTTAAATTATTAGCTTATTTGACGGGATATGACCTCGGAAACAACCACTGAAAAATACATTCGATCCCAAGTCGTAATTTTTCTCACAACCCATCAACCCCACGCCTAGAGTACCGTATATAATAATTTCATTTTCATCATTACAATAGTATTTCCAGGCAAAGACAGGGCTGAAGATAGCCTGAAAAAATATTTACAGAATATCGTAATAAATGCCTCAGTGCATACAATATATATATATA